TGCATCGAACTGTCTATAGAGAAGGGACGCGTCTAAACTCAGTGCAACCAGGTCCAGAACAGTTGAAGAGGCTTGGATTTGCCTGGATGACCCGTTCCTGGTCTGAGTGTGGCTCAAGATCTAAATATCTGAGCTCTACTGGGTTGTGCAAACGAAGCGGAGATAATGCCGCTGATGATGAAGGCGCCTCGAAACAGCTCCCCGACAGCCTCCAATGTGTCCCAGATGAATATGGATCATCCGGATATCGGAATCCTTGCTAGTGGCAGTTCCAGAAGTAGCCTCGCCCGCCCTAAGTACTCTACGCATGTCTCCTCTCAGGCACAAATGGCTGCTGTCGCATGCGCAAGTGGGCCGAGGTCAATACCTTCTGATCCTATGCCCCTTGTTCCTCATGTCCACATACCTTCACAGATCCAATCTTTCCAGATGTCTATGCTTGGGAGCAGTGCCTCTCTAGGCGAAGAATCGAGTGACAGCGATTCTCTGACACAGCATGGGCCTGAAATCTCTCATTCGTCAATGCATACCCCGTCCAAGCAAGCGTTACGATTGTCGCTACATATTCAAGATGGTTCAATGCCAAGATCACCCGCAATCTCTCAGACTAATATCACCGGCCGTACATCATTTAATTACTCGCGAGAGAATGGTAGCACTTTGGATACGACGTCACCAGTCTCAAGATCATCGTTGGATTTCGTTTTTCGATCTAAAACTCGGAGTAGTATGGACCCCCTCGCTCGAGCAGCTACGGTACAAGCAGCACGTCAAGCTTTTGAAGAAAAGGAGGCGGCTAAGACCTGGCGAATTGAGGCCCAACAAATGAAAGCCGAGAAAAAACAGACTCGGCAAAAGGAACGACACAGATCAACTGGAATTGACCAGGTGGACGTGGAAATTACGAATAATGAGAAGCCTGCGCCTGACACATTGCAGCCTTCAGATTCGCCAGAATCACACCCAACTGGCTGGAAATCCCAGTCCAAGAACACGTGGGTGCTCTTTTTGACATGGTTGCGCACCAGGGTTTTTAAGCTGCGGAGAAGGATCAAGAGAATAATCTGACGCTACAGAATTTGAGCTCGCTGGACTTACCTTGGCATTTTGTCTTCCTTACATGTATTCGGGTGTCTTGATTAGAGGTATTTGTATCAATTTTGGCGCCCTTAAAGACGTGATTTCCGACTTAGTTATGCAAGGACTAACTACTCATCGGGACAGGATGATTCTACAATAAACTGGAACATTGTGGAACATCGTGGAAGAACTGCTTTAAAATAGCAATAAATGTCAATATATACTTACAGAATATCTCTTGGTCAATATGAGTTTTTGAGGTACATTGCCGTCTCGTTGAATGCAACCTGGCCAATATGATCAACGTGAAAGCGCGCCCCTAGAACATAGGAATGAAAGCCACCCGTGGTTTGGCAGTGGCATTATATGTGGGCCTAATACAAGACTATCCGTATGGTAAATAATTTATCACTAGGTACATTGCTAACATGAAAGAGCCTGGACCACATCGCGAAAGAGGAGACTGGCTGGAGGCAAAACGTACGGTGGTACATCGCCAAAAACACTAGCCAGCTGTGTCTGCAAAGAACCATTCGCACCATTAGACGCTGTTGCTAATTGCTGTCTATCAGTTGAATTGCCCTGCTCTTGCTGACCAAACAAGCTTGCCAGGCCCGAGTTCTCAAGCAAGTCACTTGGTGCATTCGCATATATAGTTTGAGGTGCTAAACCCAGGCAGCTGAGTCGTTGCACCTTGGCTGCAGCATCGACAATGACGAAATCGCCGGAGTGTTTATCAGATAGTAAAGCGACGGGAGAGCTATCAAGCATGGTTTCAGACAGTAAGGTGAGGGTTTCGATGTCGTAGATCTGTACATGAGGTTCGGATCGTCGGCGTTTCTTTGATGCAGGGTTCTTGGAATGAACTTGCACGGCAATGGCGAAAGTTTTAGTTTCAGTGCTAACCGCTAACAGGCGTGATGAACAGGGCTGTCCGTTTTCAGCTGTATCGGGGAAGCCGAGAGTTCTGACAAGGTCATGCACAGTATCCCATATGAACACGGATCGTGTTGAGGTGATGATGAGCTGAGAGCCCAGAAATGCCGACCCACAAGGATCTCCTGCATACAGCCCAACCCTACTATAGCGGATGCTACAGGTTTGAGCATCAATCAATAATGTAACACCAGGATCCGCAGATGATGCCGAATTCAAGCAAATGGCGAGCACCGACCCATCCTGCGAATAATCCATGCAGGCTGCATTTAATCTTGTAGGGTTATCCATGTCACTATAGCTCTTCAGGTCAATGGCATTTCGACATTTCCAAGTCTCCGACATCTGTTCAGTACCTGCTGTCTTAAGACCACTTCGTTGCCTGACGCTTGGGCACCACAAGCGAAGCACTCCATCAGCGCCGACAGTGGCGAATTCATGGGCAAGATTACGGGAAGCAAGATCCAAGATCCGCGCAGGACCCTTGCCAGAAAAATGAGGAGTATCAATTCTGGTCACCAAATCCCACATCATGGACAAGCTATTCCATCTCCAGAATTTCAAAAAAGTTTCTTGGCTTTGAGTAGAGCTGCGTCCGCCATAATCATCGCCAGGATAGAGAGCTTGCATGTCTCTTTTGTAGGGGCTCCAGCTATCAATGGTAGCCATCCACTTCCCGTCTCGAGAGAGAGACAAGTGACTGACATCTGGTGCAGCGATGTATGAGCCATCTGGGCTAACCTTCAAAGTTGTTGTGTTGGTACGCGCAAGTGCTTGCCGTGAGACATGGCTGTTGGAGCGAATGTCGTAGGTCTGGAGAGTGCAAGCGTTCGCCACAGTATGGCCTTCCGGCGTCAGTTGATGAGAGGCTGGAACAGTAAGAAGAAGTTGATCCGGGAGCTTCGGATGTAAAGCGGCGGCTATAGTTCCGACTGACAGCGGCCTCTTGGTCGAGGACCGACTGTGAGACTTGGTCGGTGGACACAGCTGCAAGCCGTTTATGGTGGCAAATGGCTGGAGTTCTCGCGCTGATAGCACAGTGGTGGAATTGTCTGCTAATTTGACAGCATAGAGGGTCCCACTTGTGGAAAGAGTTATGTTGCAGATAGGGGACGAGAGATGAGGTAAGAATTGCTTTCGGCCCGTATCCAGCTGCCACAAAACCATCACCGATTCGTTGCCGCCAGAGATGACATAATTACCTGCAAGAGAGATGCATCAGTCATTTGGAGCCCATATTTGTCCTATGAACACTGGCTTACCATCCTTAGACCAGCGCACCACATTAACACAACTCCTATGCCAATGCAGCCGCCTAGGGGTAAGAGCCTTGCTGTTGCCGATATCATTCTGTAGGGAAGTGAGAATATCGTTATAAATCATAATCGAGCCCCCAGATTCCCCCAACGCAAGGTCGACATTTCCAAGGGTTGTCCGATCTTTGGGACCCGGGATCCCTGCTCGTTGTGAGGCTGTTTGAAATTGAATATCAGCGGATGTGATACTCGTGGGCAAAGTCAACTCGCTCCAGGTATAAGGTACAGGGCTCGAGCCTGGAGTATGCGCTTGAGAACCGAGAAGAACATTTTGGCCGCCAAAAGCAACCAAAACTCTACCCTGGTATGCTACTCTAAGACGAGTGATCGGGGTGTTGGTGGTCAGCAAGGGAACAGAGCAAGGCTCTTCATCAGTTAAGAGTTGAAGAACAATTTCCTTCTTCGAATCTGCGCAATCATGAACGGAGAACAGGGCGTCATTTCCGGAAGGGTCTGAACAAAGGTCGATGCAGGTTGTTGGCCTGCATGCATCCCGGTAATAGAGCCGTTGGCCAGAAAACCAATCCCATTTGCTCACAGAGCCAGTAGAGCTGAACACGTATAGATGATCCGGATTTCGTGGAGAGAGCTTGTATCCGATTACATTGTCGGTAGACTTCAACTTCAGTACTCGAAAAAGCCGCGAACTCGTCACCGAGTAGATGTGGACCGCTGTTTTAAGACCAAGAAAAAGGTACCTATGACAAACACGTTAAGAAATTGTTTCAGAAGACAATGAACGATACGACTCACTTATCATCTGAAGTGAACAAGGGGTCAGAGTTGCTAAATCTTCCAGCAGTAATTCCAGACAGGAACCAGGCATTCCGTGCGGTTTCCTTCGGTTCTCTCTCGCTAGGCTCAGAGATATCCTCCGGAACAGTAACAGCATCTGTTGCCAGGGCCGCGGTCCTTCCGACCATCCTAGGCCGCAGAGAATCGTCTTTCTGAGTCCCCTTGTCGATTGATGATGTACGACGGCGCTTGGTGCGAACATCATCGGTTAAGACCATCTTCCCTTGGGCCACCTCGCTGGCGCGCGATCTTTTGGAAAGTTGTCTAGGCTCCGAATCTGACATTGGTTCACCAGGCAATGAGGTGAAGATAATTAATATCGGCCTTCTAGTTGGAGTTTTGTTGTAAATGATGTACTCTATGGATGAGACAGACTAGCATCATCGATGTTGCGTAGCACAAGCTAGGATGATGACCACGGGCTGCTTGTAGTAGGTTCCTTTTTTTTTTTTTTGCTTCTCTTTTGCCTTATTGCCATAGTCAAACACTCCATCCATGCACTGGTCCGGCTCTATTCCTAGTATGTACTAGCGCTTTGATCATGTGCTCCAGCACTTAAAGACTAACGGGCTTTCGGTTAGGCGTAAGCCCTTAAATGGAAAAAGGTGGGGTCTATGTCAAATCAAGTAACCAATAATACAGGCGGATTTGATCAATCCTCAACGTGAGTAAATTATTCCTCATGGCACTTTCAAAGACTGAGGATTACAGAAACTAACGACCTCATTCTTACCATCCAGTAGCTGCACATCACAACGGAAGACATTCCCTATTTACTGCTACCTCCACCTTTCTGAGTATCAGAACTACCTTTGGTGCAGCTTTATTTTACTTCTAATATCTCTTCTCGTTCTCGAGACACATCTTGGCCCAATGATCATTCCCGTCAGGTGCTTCTCTTGCGGCAAGGTTGGTAGCAATACGGTTACTCCAGCTTCCCTACACGGCTTCTAATCATCGTGGAGTAATAGGTTGTTGGAGATCTATGGGAACGCTACCTACAGCTTCTAGATGAAGGCATTCCAGACGGGTAGGTCATTATTCAATGGACTGCTTTGACGCGAAAATCATCTCTGATGACTTAATTTATAGTGATGCTATGGATCAGCTGGGCTGTAGAAGATATTGTTGTCGCAGGATGATCATGACCCATGTCGATTTGATCGAGAAACTTCTCAGGTACGATCGACTGGCTCAGATCAGCATCGAATTAACGTGTTGACATTGTCCGCAAGGTATAATCCCACCGAGAGGGATCGGGCGAAGTCTCAAATATGAAGCGGTACCGATCATATTTCACAGCTCTCCAAAAATGCCTGTTGCCTCGACCTTTTCCCGATGACCTCCATACAATCCTTCTGGAAATGCGGCCCTGCTGCTCCCCATTCTCGGTGGCTACGAAAAGAAAAGGGCTTTGCAAAAGGTTTTATCTGTGTTAATGTCAGTGGCGATTGACTTTAAACACTCCAAGTCCCTTCATCTGTGGTTTTCAATGGTTTCCTAGTGGTTTTCAGCGGTTCTCTTCATTCTTGCACGAACTCTTTCGGTCATGTCGGCAGTCTTACATGCGTAGTTTATTATCCCATTGGGTTCTTTTGTCTGGTTTTGTTTTTGAGTCATAGAATTATGCAGTGGCAAGGAACGCCTGCACAAGCAGTTCATTCAACTAATGTAATCAAGATTGGTTCACTTGACTGAAAGGCACTCTGTAAGTTCAGTGTTCTCTTGGCAGTCTGTTGTTTCTGGAGATAGATATCTTGCCTATAACAATGTCACGTGGTCGATTTTGGCCAGAGATACTACGCGTATATAGTGTGGCAGGGTTTCGCGGAGGTTGACACTATTCCTCCGTGCCACTCCAGCATTTGATATGGTTCATTTTCGAGGTCGTTTGACCAGTCCGAATGTACGTGGCAATGGTACTAATTAGGAATAGATGTAGTTCGGGTGGTAAGAAATCTTCTTTCATATGAAGCAGGACAAGGTTGGAGTGCATGCACAAGTTAGCCAATACTGGGTACGTGACTACGACCTAGTCGTCAATGTCAGGAACGATTAGATACCCCTCATGCCACCATAATACATGTTTTCAAGTACCGTACGAAGCAATGTCTAGATCCACCTGGCCATTTTTACCGAAGCAAAACTACTGGATGATCTATGTCTATCTACCTATGTAGAGAGAAGGCACACGGGCGACTGTGGATCTGATGATTACAATACATTGTCTCCTCATCAGTACACCATTTTTGCTGGATACATGTCACAATTAATCGGATGACTGTACGGCTGGTATAAGTTAGTATGTACAGTACAGTACAACAGCTTATTATATACTACTACCGTTAGCGCCAGTAGTGCTCGGCGCGAAGCGTCTCACGGCGGCAAGGCACATGATGTGTGATGAGACCTCCATCGAAGTGCTAGAACTCTTGATAGACCCGTGTAAGTGATATTGTTCAGCCAGCTTCTCCCAGGTCGTTGTCTCAATATCAGCTCGCATCTATCTATATGTTTTTCAGGCGATATTGCTCCATATTCACACCACATTAGGATCCGTCAAGGATCCAGAGTACCATTCTAACCGCCTTATCCTGTCTTCTGAGATCTCCAGGCCGTCAGCTTCCTAGTGCCTCTAGATACACCATGTATGAGAATGTAAATCCCGCGATGACTCAATATAAAATGCTAAATCACATAGGCTTGCCAAAAATCACATAGATGCATCTGATACAACATCGGGACACGTTGTAGGGTCATCCCTGGTTTCGAACCAAGATGCGGGCGGCCACGATGGCTCTCCGGAGTGCGATTCTGAGTGTGGATGTAAATCCACGCCACTTGAGTCAAGACCACCGCTCACAGGATTATCTCGAGAGGAACTCAAAGTATGAATGGCATCCGGCAGAATTTGACTATAAGACCCAACCGTACTAAGACTGTTAATAGATACATACTGCGAATACACAGGTCAACAAAGGTGAGGCGAAATCGGATGAGGACGAGCCACCACAATCAGTGATACATGCTCCTGCAGGTTTTGGTGACTTTGTAAGTGATTGACATACAAGTCAGCAATCCCATCAGTATCCGCAATCAGCCCTCTCTTGGAATCTAATGAGGAAAAGGTGAATGGACAAATGCCATCTGTCAGCACGCTTGCACCATCAAGTGCATTGAAGTCATATACATCACATGAAATAGCACAGTCATCATCGGGTCATGATCTTACGACGCTCGTAGTAGTATTCTACCATCCTTCGTCTTGGCTGGAAGCAGACTGACAAGCGCTAGGTTGGGCCTGAAAGCCCTGTATCACCACCTCCATCGAGCACTTCAGCTGAGCATGCGGAGGGATGGTCCGAACGACCAACACCTCGAGCGCAAACAAGACAAGAGTTCGGAGATCCGCGCATGAATTCATGTACCAATACTGTTGATAGTAGGGCAGATGCTGTTTCTGGAGAAGGAACACCCTGGCTCTCGATATCCCGTATTGAGGGTAAGCCAATCCTTTCCGGTACTGATTTCAGGAAATCAGTCAATCACAATGACTTCAATGGCCTGGGTCTACGGGTTGTATACCATTCTGACGACAAGCAGAAATTGACGCTCTCACAGCGGCCCTAGCGGAGTGCTGGGCTCTATGCAATTCATTGGCCGTTCTCAGCACTTTACATGGAGAAAGGCACGGATGTTATGTCAATACTCAAGACGAGGCTTGGAAACTATGCTGGCGGTTATGTCAGGAACTCTATGTCAGCCAGAACAACTACCACTCCTCAAAAGTCAACCCTATTCTCGATATTTGTCATGACTTTTGTCAATCTTTGTTCGAAGCTCGTGAAAAAGAAAACGAGGTCACGGATTCGATTCTCCGCGTTAGTTTCGAGCTCAATAACCATCTCTATAATACGCACGATCGAAACCTGCCAGAGGCTTTCCGGGAGAGGACTCTAGAATTTTACATCACACTGTGTCATCGTCTGATGAAGCAGAGGAGCCTAGTGTCTGAGACAGAATCCCCTTTGGGCACGTGCTGGTCCTTTGCAGAGATGCTTTTCACCATGCGTCAGAATAAAAGAGAAAACAAGAAGCCAGACGAAGACTTGCTGGGATCGGCGATTCAAGCTTGTTGGGAACTTTGCGATGTTTTCAGGGAAGGTTGGGCACAGCGAAGCCATCGAAGTTCTGACCGTGGAACACCACGGCCAAGTCAAGCAACTTTCCAGCAGGCCATCGAGCAAGGCAAGGGGTCTCAGTTCATTGCTTGTGACGAACTTTTGGGACAATCTAAAAATCCTGAGACCCCAACTACAGTTTTCGATGATACTGCAACCATCTCACCAGATGAGGCACCTCTTCAGAACATTTTCGTCTTGGGCCAAGGCTCAATTCAAGCATCGCAAACTGCCTGGTCTTCGACTTCATCAGCTGCTTCAGGACAATCACAATCATCGGAGCAGACCTCATCGACCAAAACAATAACCACCTTATCGGGAGGACTGAATCTGGCGATTATCAAGATACTGGTTACAAAGGCTGCAATTAACAGCGGTTATCAGCGTTCCGGGACACAAAGTTTCTCGTCGTTTGTCAAATCACTGTCTTTCGACACATTCGGCTCTACCCCTTGGCAAATATCACTGCTGAAGAACTATAAAAGGCTGGTAGCATTTGACCCAACTTTCAAATGTGCTACTTCCCAGGCACGAGCAAGTGCCATTGATGTAGCGCAAGCCGTTCGGCTTGTCGCGCAGGGCGGACAATACCCATGGCTGTTAGATCTTTACCGCTTGGTCTTCGGGTTCCATACAGACGAGGCTATCGACCGGAAGGAGATCGTACTTCAAGTATGATTTGAACGCTATATTAGCATCTTTCCCGCAGATTATTCGATGCTGACCACTAGGGGCATGGGTTGCACTCGTGATTCTACTGGAGATAACACCGACTGTAAGTTGGGCTCTTGTTCATTCTCATATAGGTAAAAAGTAAGCAAGGTCCCGCTAGCCCCGCCGTCAGAGTTTTAATCTGACAGTATGTCATGCGCAGCTCTCATGTCACACCGCGTGCTTAATTCCTGCCTGAATAGATGGATGGAATCATAGCTTCGTCTAGATTTAGATTGCATTATTTTTGGTGCAGGTAATTAGAAGTAGTAGAGGTCGCTGGCTCATTCGACGCCGTGCATATCATTCTGGTCCTGTAAACCAAGTTCTACATTCGCATACTTCCCATATCGATGATTAGTGAAGCTTGATGACAATAAAACCAGGCATGTTTAGATCCACATGGCTACAGTTAGAAACAGTCCTGGCGATCAACTATATGGGCACTTGCACGGTGGAAGGATCAAAGGAGTAAACGGTGTGTATATACTATTCCGCGCTTTGCGTGCACTAACGCCAGTGGTAGCATGCCCCCAAAGAATTGATTTTAGATAAAGTAAGAGACTTGCAAATATTTGATACATCTTCTCGTCCTCCAGGAGAGTGACAGATTATGACAGCAAAACATACTCTCGAGTACTTGCCTTTCGTTATAGAAGCTAGGGCCGATTTTGAGTGCCTGATGACTGTTCCCTCCTACACAGCATTTGCGATAGCATAAAGTGGCTCACATCCTCATCTGTCCAGTAGCTCAAGTGGCTGGCAATACTTGCAATCATAGATATATCGAATGCACCCCTAGACGGTTAGCGCTTGTCATTACTGAAAGACCATAATTGACCTAGGACGCCCCACTTACTCCTGTATACTATAGTCAACACGCCCGTTGGCATTCAAGGCCCTTACCTTTGCATCCTCTAGTAGAATCCTTTTCGAGCCACTGCCTGCTTCAGGGGCTCCGGTAGCATTTTCCCTGGCTTGTAAATTCTGCTTCGCTGGAACACTGTCCTGATGGACTTTTCCGTAGAGCGTTTCCAAGTCAGAGTCAAGCAGTGTGGGCCGTCGAGTTTTGTCTTCACTCAACGCAGAAGCACCCGCGATCGATGGTCGATTCTGGGGGTCTTGAGTCGTCGCATTGGACGATGAGCGGGCGGAGGCATCCTCGGGACTCAGGCCGAGACTACGGTTCAGAAGACTGCTGGCGACACCTGACGTGAAATTCGTCCAGAGAGATCCCACACTTTGACCGACACGACTACCGATCATGGAAAGACTCTGACCAGATGTTGCCCAAAGACTTTTCTTTACCGACGGCAAAGGCTGCGGCTTGAGCGATGACAGTGCCGGTGAAATCAGAGGCTCTAAACGATAACTCACAGGGTCGGAGGGATGAAAGATATTGTACAGCTGCCCACATTTAGGTGAAGAAACAGATAACTCAGTCTGAGCGCGCACGGTGCTCGTCTGGTGTGAAGAAAAAGACCTTGTCTTGGAGGTATGCTGCAATGGTGTTTCCAATGGGCATTTCTCTGGGAAGGACGATACTTCTGCGAGTTCCTCGTCTCGAGCCTGTCGCCCAGCAATAGTTTTCCCTTTGAGCATCTGAAATAATGCTACAGGCGAGCCTAGACAGAAGAATTCCTGGCATTGGAATTCCAAAGAAGAATTTCGACGTAATTCTGACTGTCCGGCATTGATTGAGGGGATCGCATGGTGGCTATCACGGGGTTCATGGCAGAGAATATCGAAGAGGATTGCGCTACCAAGAGAATGGCCGCAAAGACTCACTGAGCCCTTGAAGGATGGATTTCGCTCCTTGAAAAGCCGCAGGATTCTATTGCACTCCCCTTTCACTATGTGAGATATCTGTTCACAATACGCACTCTGATAAAGCAGAACATCCATAGCCAGGTCAGATATGAGATTTCGAACAGCAGGCACGTTGTCGAGAGTGATATCTGATAGAGTAGGGTATGCTGGTATTGCATCTTCGGGAGTCTCTGCGTCCGCTAAGTCAAGTTCCTTACGACTTTGTTCCATTCGTTGGTAGGGAAAATCGAGCATATGTCTCCAACAGCTAAGACAATTACTGAATCAGTACGTGGACTCCATATAAACACAAGCCATTGAGAGGCTCGGCCAAAGTTAGATATGAAGGGCGGTATCGCAAAGTAGAGGGAGGAAATAGACTCACACGGGTAGGACCTGGATGCGGCAGTTTTCATGCTTATCGGCAAACTGCGAATTGAAGGCTTGAAGATCGGGTGATGCTCGATAAACACTTTTCATCGTTTTGCGTAAAACGTTGACGTCGTGTATGAAATTTACACTTTCTAGGCGTAAGCCCAGGCGCTGGCCAATTCCGTGAGTGACTAGAACCAAATGATCTATCTCCCGATCTCTATCTTCATCGGAGTCTTTTGATGCCTCCATCTCCTTCTGTTCTTGCGTACGCACTTGCTCTTCTTCAAGCTCGGCCAATTCTGAGCGATCAACTGCCCCATTACCCGGCCCTTCGGCTGCAGACCCCGTTGTTGTATTCACTGGACTGGGGGTGTCCGGTCCAGTCAAATCGGTCAAACCCAACAACTTGGAGTCTACTTCGAGCTGCCCTGGTAGTTTGGTGCGACGCTTGAGCCCTTCGTGTGCCTGCTTTTGTGGAGTGCCACATTTTGAAACATTTGTGGGCTTCTTCGCTTCATTGAAGCCACGTACAAGTTTCGTGCCTGCGACAGCACCCAGCTTTTGGTAAACCGTCGTGCTGACCCTGGACATAAAGTCATCGCTTGTCAGCAGCGCAGTGGAAGCGTCTTGATATGTGACTATATTGCTCATATAAGCGCCGAACAATCGATAATGCCTTGGTTCATTACTAGTTCCGGAAGTACCACGAGGGCTAGAATCTATTCGACAACATGAGTGATTTAGTGTGTTGACTTACGCGTTCTCGACATACCTTGGTGACTAGGTTTTGTCGACGAAGCAGCTGATGGCGAGCGACGGGTGTCCAAGCATCGCCAGGGTTTTAGCTTCAGATATCCCTCTTCAAGCTGTGTTGCTAAATTCTCTTCGCATGGCTTCATAGTCGATCCTTCCTGAAAGAACCAGGTCCCGCGGCGCACTTCATATATGGGGCCTACCCAGTACGTTGGCGCCAGCTCCCTGTATTCCACATTCACATCGAACAAGAAGTCTTCATTCACGGAAACCTTAGTTGGGACGTGTGAACGGCCAGGGTCTGCTTGTTCGTGGCCAAGGTTCTCATTTTCAACCTCAATGTCTGATATCCTTTGGAAAGCCTCTTCAATGGCATGAGAGTCTCTAGTTGAGAATTGCACAAATTTCTTGGGGGGTGGCAGCTTGAGATCTTCATTGTTCCGAGCACGGGTAGACAGCTCCGGCTTCCGTTTTGGAGAGTCCACAGCATAAAACCACTTGACACTCAAGGGTGGGCAATCTTGCGGATACCGGTGTAAGCTGAGCCTGTACCTATGCGTGATAGCATGGTCTTGTCCTTGGGATTGCTTCAGGATATTGTGGACGTCGTGTTGCTTGTCTGCAGTAGACAGGAGTGTCGAGCTTTGGGGGCTACTCCAAGGCGAAATTGCCCCTAGGAAAGGGCCCCGTTGGCTTTCTTTTGGCATGAAGCTCAGGAGAGCTCGTGGTTTCGTGGCAAGAGCCAATGCGCCGACGTCGGATGAACTGATAAAAAGGCAGTGTCAGACGAGGCTGTGAGATCCCAGAGGCCAAGGTGGTTGTATTACAAGTGAATCGTAGAGAGTGTTCGGTATTGTAAGGATTCATCCGTGCTTTCTGACCTTGTTGGCAGTTTTAATGAGGCTTTGTGGATCGGTGACTTGCCCGCCAAAAGCTTCGTAGCTGATCACCTGCTCGTACACAGGGATAAACTAGGTCAATTTGCAGGGGCTTACGACTTAGTGGTGGATGACTAGTCAATTATCCCGTATATTGTCAAGCACTTATCAGTCATCTAGGATGATGTACATCTGGTTAACATGTTTAAGTACTGAATACAGAGTAGTAATCAAACTGTCAGTCCTGTAATGCAATTAAGACGGCGACATCATCAGGCATCAGGCAGCAGCAGCCGGCAGGAGCCGGCAGCAGCCGCCCACACATTTTACGTCATTAACCATAAGTTATACTCTACCTCACAGATCAGTGTTTATGTATGACCAGGGACCACACCGTAGTTACACTTTCTCTTTGTGTGAATAGTATGTGTTGATCAGGTAAATTATTTACAAGGACTACTAGGTAACCAACATGCAGGCCAATGACCCATGCGGTTCTAGGCTGACCGATTCTAAGAGTTCTTTTGTGTAATTCCCGGTACTAGTGAGCGATGCTAGTCATCCCATCATAACCCCACCTTGTCATTAGGTTTCAACACTAGTGCAGTTCCCCTTCGACGACAAGACGGCAATCAACCCCACGGAGTCTCCTTCGTTCATCATACCAGCAGCTTTCACCCCCGCCACCCAAACAGGGTCACTTAAACGTTGAGTGCTCACCTGGTCACCTTCTGATACTTACGCATAGTATCTTCACCCGCAAGTTGCGATTCTGAATCCTTGGACTTTCATTTCGCTCAAGAGGCCTATTTTCCGAGATCAAGAGACAACAGAAGGAGAAAATGAACGTGCTCAAACTACAGAGGTTCGCATCAATACCACGGGTAGAAGCTGCGGGGTCACTGACCATGGCCCAGGAAATTCCCGCAATTCGATCAGGCGGACATTTTCTCCCTTCAAGATGCATTTCGAAAGCTGGATGTCGACGATAGGGGCTATCTAGACGAGGCCACTGTGATCAAGGCAACGCAACAAACGGAACGGAAGCCTTATGATGTCGTACGCCAAGCCTTGAAAGAGGTTGAGTTGGACAGTTCCCGCCGCGTCGAACTGGAGGACTATGTGGATGTTAGTACCCTGGAAAGCACTTTCAGCAATAATGCTAACGCATGTCGGCAGCTCATCTCCAAGGTTCGCTTTTCTCCAGCGCAAAATCACGCTGGTGGCCATGGTCCCGCAGCAGTAATACCCGGAAATGTCACTGGGCAGTCCCGCCACGTCTCTAAGGGGAGCATCGGCGGGAAAATCCATGTACAAGGATCGTCTGCAAATGTGACACACACTATAAACGAAGATGAGAGGACCGAATTCACTAGGCATATCAATGCTGTTCTCGCAGGGGACCCAGACATCGGCCACTCTCTACCTTTTCCTACGGATACATTTGAGATGTTTGATAAATGCAAGGACGGTTTAGTGCTAGCAAAGCTTATCAATGACAGCGTTCCAGACACGATCGACGAGCGTGTTCTTAACAAGCCTGGGAAGAGAACGAAGGAATTGAACGCTTTCCACATGACCGAGAACAACAACATTGTCATCAACTCCGCCAAGGGAATAGGATGTTCAGTTGTCAACATAGGGAGCGGCGATATTATTGAAGTTCGTGAGCATCTTATCCTGGGCCTCATTTGGCAAATCATCCGCCGAGGTCTTCTCGGCAAGATTGACATAAAACTTCATCCGGAGCTTTACCGGCTGCTTGAAGAAGACGAAACATTGGAGCAGTTCCTTCGCCTTCCTCCGGAGCAGATCTTGCTACGTTGGTTCAACTATCACCTGAAGAATGCAAAGTGGGATAGAAGGTATGATACATCTCACCCGAAGCCCAGGTGCACAAACTCTGTCCACCTCGATGACTGGGCCGAGCTAGGACTACTCTGCTAGTCCACGGAGATTTCGATGAGTATCTAGCTGACATGCCATAGAGTTACAAATTTCTCAACCGATGTGAAAGACGGGGAGAATTACACCATACTTCTTAATCAACTGGCACCTGAGATTTGCTCAAGGGAACCCCTGCAAGTCCAAGATTTGGTTCAGCGCGCTGAACATGTTCTAACCAATGCGGAAAAGCTCGACTGTCGGAAATTCCTGACTCCTACTTCCTTGGTTGCGGGGAATCCGAAGCTTAATCTCGCATTTGTGGCAAACTTGTTCAACACAATTCCTGGTCTTGACCCGATTACAGAAGAAGAGAAACTCGAGGTTGAGGACTTCGATGCTGAGGGTGAACGAGAGGCCAGAGTTTTCACTCTCTGGCTAAACTCTCTCGACGTACAGCCTTCTGTCAACTCACTGTTTGATGACCTACGCGATGGAACCATCCTGCTACAAGCGTATGATAAGGTAATTTCTGGCAGTGTGAACTGGAAACATGTCAACAAGCCCCCAACGTCTGGCGGAGAAATGATGCGGTTCAAGGCGGTCGAGAATACCAATTATGCAATCGAGCTTGGTAAACACATTGGTTTCTCCCTTGTAGGTGTACAGGGAGCAGATATCACTGATGGCCAAAGGACTCTTACGTTGGGACTGGTCTGGCAACTGATGCGAAAAGACATCACAATTACTCTCTCTAGCCTAGCACAACGCATGGGCAAACGCGAAATGACTGATGCAGAGATGATAAAATGGGCAAATGAGATGTCCCGAAGGGGAGGAAGAACTACGACGATTCGCAATTTCAAGGATCCGTCTATTGGATCCGGTATCTTCTTACTTGATGTGCTCAATGGCATGAAGAGCAGTTACGTGGACTATGAGCTCGTGACGCCTGGCCGGAGTGAGGAAGAGGCCTATGCCAACGCTAAGTTGAGTATTAGCATAGCACGAAAGCTCGGGGCGACGATTTGGCTCGTCCCCGAAGATATTTGCCAAGTTCGGTCTCGCCTAGTGACCACGTTCATCGGTAAGTTTATTGCAATTGACCTATACCGAAGCATGGGGAAATTGACCATATCCTGCAGGTTCGCTCATGGCTACATACGAGAAAATGCAATAGTTGTTCGATCCAGGACTCTTTCGCAAGGAGGGCTTCGTCTATGTTCTTGCACCTCATGTTGCAAACTCCAAATTCTGCGTCTCTACTCATAGTTATATCTGAATATCACCTTTAATTAAGGTCCTAACATCACACAATTCTGTCTAGCTGCCAGCCACCCCTTTTCGAGGGTCTGCCTACGAGTGTAGAATTACAGTGGACTGGTCCTCAATTTCTAGGACTCACCGGAAGACGATTATTTTCAAGATAGGTTCCATAGTTCTGGGTACTCGGTGACATTATAATAGCCACTCATAGCCTCACATATAGACCCAAGAACAAAGGCAGAAGCGCGTTGTTATTGGTACATGGATATGCTCATGAGTCCGAGGACAACAATCATCCGAAACCATAAATTGGTAAGATAAAGGGGTTAAGATAAATTGAGACAACTAGCATCACCTACGTCTTGCTTGGTAAAAGCTGATATGATAGTATCAAGGACGCTTACCAGGGCTCCTCGAAAAGATTTTGTAAAGGAGATTCGGATGTCTCGAATACAGGCTACGTACGGCTCCTACGGCAGACCGTTTCTCGGAAAAAAGGGGTTGATCAGGAACTTCGGACGGACGAGTAGGACGAGGGATGAGGGATGGAAGATCGAGTGATATTAATTTGCGACTCGAGGACGAAGAAACGGGCCGCCAGTTATCGTTAGGATGGTTAAGGACGACAAAGACCGGCGTTAAATCAAGATAGGAAAGAGGCTCGCTCGACGTTCGTTCGGGAAAGTTTCGAGCTGCTGACCACGATAAATAACAAATTGACAAACCATCTAGGCCGCGCCGTCCCTCTCCCAACTAGGAGTCTTTGCTTCTTCCCTGCGATGGGTAACATCGTCGAATGAAACAAGGCGGGACGGGTCGGTCAATGGAACGATCATAAGGGGTACCAATAAGCATGTAGCGGTGAGCCGGACAGGGAAAACAGGGAGAACGCCAAGGCATCAGAACCTTGGAACAGCAAGAAGCACTGGGCAGATATAGGGGGGACATAGGATAGTTAAAGCTGATTACCGGTGATATTTCCTCGAATAATGAGGATGTCGCATCTCCCATTGGCAAGTCATTATACCAGGACGGGCTGATATACGACTTTCGAGTATCAGCGAGCCAAACAGGAGAGCAACCTACTCAGCGGTGTCCAGTTCATCATGAGCAGAAGCCAGGGGGTCTAACGGAGCCACTTGACAGGGATCAATATCTTGTTAATGTTAAATATCAGACGACTAACCTTTTCTTTCCTCGCCGTTTGGTGCGTTTTCACGGTCATCGTCATTGCGTTCTCGCTCATCATCCCGGCGTTCCCGATCTTCTTTGACATCACGATCTCTCTCGTCAGGGCTACGAGAGCGATCACGAGAACGTTCGCGTTCACGATCACGTCTGTCATAATCACGATCTCGACGGTCATAATCACGGTCGCGACGGTCGTAGTCACGATCGTGGCGGTCATACTCCCGATCATACCTTTCATCCCTGCGTGGAGAATAGTCGCCACGGCTGCGTCGAGGAGACGGAGAGCGGCCACGGCGGGGAGGGGTACGGTCACGCCGACGGTCACGACCAGAGTCGAAACGCCAGGAGGCAGAAGGAGGAGTACGAGCCCACTTTAACATATTAGCTGAGTAATTTCGATGGTGTCGGCAACCGATTGACAAACCTCTATCTTCAGTAAGTCATCGCGGCCAATCCGCTTATTGTGCATCTCATGATAGGCATCATCTGCATCACGGCGACTCTCGTACTCCACAAAAGCAAACCTGCTATGGTAAGTCAAAATGGAGAGCGTAGAGGGGCTTGGTGACATACAGTCTGCTCGACGGAGTTCGCGGTGCTGGGATATCACAGCGCACAAGTCGGCCATACCTACAAGAAAGGTCAGAACAATTGAAGCCCAAAAACTCATTACGATGAAAATTTAAGTCGGGAAAGTGATGAACAGATAAACGGTGGTAGTATTGGGTTTGGCGGAGAATTCCGCTCACAGCACTACCACAGAGCAGGAAAGAGAGAGAATCTCTCTGAAATGGGGAAAAGTGGACAGCTTCGCCTGCGATATTGGGAGACTCCGTCGAGTGTTTTCGCGTTTGAGGAGACGAGTTGTTGGATATGGTAGCGAGTAGGCAATCGACGAGCGGCACGTACCGTTCGAATTCGTAGGCAAGGTCGCGAGCTCGAGTCCCGTGCCCAAAGCCGGTGACATATAAGGTAGTGCCAGGACGAGACATGCTATGTGCGTGGCTAGATCTGTCCTTGACAGGAGGAATAGAGAGATGCTTTGGCTGCTTAAAGGATAATGGAAGTAAGTGAGGTCGGTAAGGGAGCTTTCGAGTGCTAGAGTTGATTTAGCACATGTTCTACGGGTGGCCAAAGATACCACTAGTGTATGCTTAGTAAGCCAGAGTTGGATGTAGGCCGCCCAGCTCAGTGTGGTCTGAACATAACTTAGTGTCTACTGTGGTTGACTCCGTTGATTTTGTTAGTACGGTGGAGAGGTGTAGGGATTTAAATTCTTTAAGCAGTGTGTCTACTACTATATACCGCCTTCTTTATTAAGCTACGTGTCAACTTTTTAAAGCTGTGAATATGTTAAAATTATTAATATATACTAATTCTTGTTATTTTAAAAATATTTTTAATATCTGAGCCTTCAACATCTGAGCCTACCTCTTCTAAAACAATAAATTTAAAGCACCTTAAATAAGATAACTGTCTGCAAGTTTTTACTTTTTAAAATACCGGCTTAATATATTAACAAATTATAAATTAACTTTAAATTAGTTATTGCCAAGTTTAATATATATATTAAAGCTAATAAGCTACTCCGAAGAAAACTAAAAGTACTAAAGTAAAGCTATTAAAGTTAAAAGTTAATAAAATTATATAATAAATCTTTAGTTTAAAGTGTATATACTGTTTATTCTACTACTGTATTGTTAAAAAGCTTAAACTCCCTATTAAAGCAACTGCTTTAGCCTATACTTTAAAAAAAAAAGGCTATTTCCAGTATAAAGTACTTTACAAACTATTTTTTACTTCAGCCAATAAAAAAGTAAGGTTAGCCTGGGCATTTAAATACTTAAATTAGATATATAATTAATAAAATTAAATTCTTTGGACTAATAAAATCTAAATAATTTTAGATTTTTATAAATAGATTTATATAACTTGTAAAGCTGGTAAAGAACTTAATAAAATATACCTTTATACAAGTCCACTATATAAATATAGCTGAATATTTTAGGCATCTTTTTATAAAAATTATAAAGGGCTATATTTTTTTTAAAAAAAAACTAGAGTAGTATTAATACTAAATATTATTATAAATATATTATTCCTATAATCTACAGCTATATATATTTTATTAAATATAATAAATAATTACAGCTTTAATTAATGTAAGATAATACGCCTGGGTATATAAATAGAGATATAGTTTAAAATCTTTAAAAGTATAGAATTTTTTTAATTAGTTGGTCTGCTTTTTTACCGGATCTTAATCTAATTAAGGCTGTATAGAATTAGATAAAAAATTAGCTTAATTAATTTTTTTTAATAATAAGTAATTATTATATAATTAGCTATAAGAGATTGTACAGGCTGCTTAAAATACTTTACTAAAAAAATTTTTAAAAAAATTAATTAAAAGTATAAAGGCAAGGTGCGAGGCAGTTATTAATACTAAAAATAGCTATACAAAGTATTAATAATTATATATATAGCAGAATTTTAAAGAATTTGAATCCCTGCATCTCTACTGTACTAACAAAATCAATGGAGTCAACCACAGTAAATGCTGCCCCCGGTAGCACACTTGGTCCCTACGGCCTGCTATATTATTAAGGATAAACCACTATATGTAAATTTAGATAGAAAATTAAGTAACTGAATATTAAACTATATAATTATATATCTATATTCTCAGCCTGTAATATATTAGTAGTATTTTTTATTTTCTTTTTTCTTTTTTATTTTCTTATTTTTATCAGACTGGCAGGGCACCTGGCCCTCCAAAGCCCTAGCCCTCTTTAATCAGTTGAATAAGGACCATTGTTCTTGTTAAGAAGCGGGCTGGTGTCTGGTTCTTAGTCTGGCTGGGTAGTAGGAATAACAGTACAGACTGGACAATTCTCTATAACTAGTTTTCTAATATATTCTTTAGCTACTGGGTTAGGCTATTTTTAGATTTATAAATAAAATATAGCTTAAAAAGCTATAAATATAATTAAAAGTAGATAAGCAGTTAAAAAAAATAAATTATATATAAAACAGTTTAAAAAAAAACAGTTAAATTATTAAAATAAAATAGATTAAATAGATTAAATAAATTAGATAAATTAGATAAATTAGATAAATTAAGTAGATAAAATAAGTAGAATAGGTATATTAAATCTATACTATAATAGTATATTCTTTTTCTAAAGCTAAACTTTATTAAAATATAGATTATAGTTTATTAAAATAATAGTAATAAAAGTTTTTAATTATTTATATTATATAATACCTCCCGCTACAGCAACCCATATCTACTACTATAGCAGCCTGCTTTTAAATTAGTACTAATTTACCAGGCTTTTAATCCGGGTACTTATATTACTATATTACTTACCCCTCCCTTTATATATAATATATTATTTTAAAATCCTTTAAAGAAGAAGATTTTTTAAAAATTAGTTTTAAAATTAATAAAAAACTATTTTTAGCTATTTTATTTATTTTATCTAACCAGTATATCTATTATATTAAATAGTTTCTAACAATTTCTAATTCTTCTACTTTTAATTATTTAAAAAAAAATAATATAGTATTTAATAAATTTTTATTAAAATTATTTTAAGGTACTTTATCTGGCCCTGAATTAAATTATTTAACTTAGACAGATTTTTAAAAAGTATAAGCAACTATTTATTAGTTAAAACAGTTAAAATAATTTAAAAAATAGATTTAAATATTATAAACTAAATATAAAGATATTAAATTTTAGTAAAATTATAATAATACTATACTAGTTTAACCTTAACTTCTAAATATAAAAAAAATTAAATTTAAAAAAATTCTAATCTTTTTTTATTTTAGTTTATAATAAAAAATAGAATAGATTTATAATCTACAGTATACTTTTAAAAAAAGTTTTAAAAATATTATACTAAAAATTAAAAGGTTTTAGCTGTAGTTAGCTATCTAGACTTTATCTGCCGGTAGAAATAGTATTAGTATATTAATAAAAAGTTTTTAAAAAACTACTAAAAAGCTAAATAATTATAGAATTATTTTATTTAATAAATTTTTTTTTCTTTAGAATACTGCTATTTTGCAGTTTAATACTATAGGGCAGCTTAAATAGACCTATTAGTAAAATAATTAAATTTTAAAAAAGTTTTATTTTTATTTAAAGTTGGTACTGGAACTTAGTTAATATATTTATAAATATATACTAAAACTACTAGACTTCTAAAAAAAATAATATCTATTACTATTTACTACTAAAATATACTAAATTAAAAAAAATAGTATTTAAATAAATAAAATAATTATTTAAATATAGTTTTTAAAAAAATAGAACCTCTGCTATTAAATAATAAGTTTTTTTTTAAAAAAGTTTTTTAAAATAAAAAAATTAAAAAGAGGAAATTTTTTATTGCTATAAATATAATAATAAATATTACTTAGCTAATTAATACCTTTAAAGAAATAAAATTAAAATTAAATAAAATTTAATAAAAAAAAAGTAGTACTTAAAAAAACTTTTATATTTTTAATAAACTAGTTTAAAATAGAGACTGCTATTTACTTTAATATACTTATTTACTTTAAAAATATTTTAAAAATCTATATAAACTTAGATTTATATACTAAAATTAATTTTATTAGCTATTAATTTATTTAATAATTTTATTTTAATACAGTGTGACAGCCAATCAGATTAATATAATTCTATTAATTTAGTACTATTTTAATAAAATCTTAAATATAGAAAAAAAAGAAGAAAAAAAGGTAGTTATATATTTTTACAGTATTATCTTATCTATATATATATATTAAATAAAATAAATAAAGTAAATAAGTTAAACTACTTTTATTTTAGTAGCCTATACTAGATTTATTTTATTTATTTTTATATTATTTTTTAGATTAGTTTTAACTATCTACAGATAAAAAGTATTTTTTAAATTTATTTTAAAATTATTTTTACAGTATAATAGTAGACTAGGCATATTTTTTAAAATTATATATAAAATTATTATTAAAATAATTAGGTTTAAAGGCTTTTTTTATAGCAGCTTTCAGCTAAATTAAAAAATATTTTAAAAAACTAAAGCTTATTAAATAAAAATTATAAAAATTTTTTAAAAGTATAAAAGTATTTTATAAATTACTAGTAGAATATTATATTAAATCTATTTTATTTAAATTTTTTTATCTAATTTAGTATATTAAGTATTTTTATTATATATAAAAGTTAAAAATTTTATTTATTTTATATTTTATATTTTTATTTATATTTATTAGTTTTATTTAATTTTAAATTTATTTTAGTAGCAGATTACTAGTAGATACAGGCCAAAGCTTTTTAAAATAAAATACTAGATATATTTTAATATTAATAAATAATTATATTTAAAAAATATTTTTTTTATTTTAAAATTTTATAAAAACTATACTATTTATTAGCTAGTTTTTTAAATAGTTAATTTTAATTTTAGTTAAAATAATTAATATATATTTTACTTTTTAGTTAAATTAAAATTTTTTTTAGTAATAGTTAATTTATATAGCTTATTATTTTTAAAAGTTAATAATATTAATCTTAATAAATTTTTAAATATTTTTAAAATAAATTATAATACTTTAAATATAAGTAATATTTATATTTTTTAGTCTAGCATCTGCAGGGGGTTTTTAATTAAATAATAATTAAAATTAATATTTATATTTTATTTAAAATAAAAATATTTTAAAAAATATATATAGTAGATAAACAGCAGTAAAGTCTATTATTAACAGTACTTTTAATTAATTATTATAAAAATTATTAATAAAAAAGATTAGTTTTTAAATTAAATACTGGTTTATATTTTTAGTTTATTTATTAATTTAAAAATAATAAGCTGTAGAAAGCTTTAGCTTAATTTAAAAAATATAATAAAACTTTTATTAAAATTTTAAAATAAACTAAGATTTTTTATTAAAAATAATAGTATCTAAAGATCTGGTTTAGATATAAATAAATTTAATAAATAAATAAGTTATATTTTATATAGTTATATTTTTTATATATAAAATTAATACTATTTATTTAAAAAACTAGTCTACTATTATATATATTATATTATATTTTTATATATTTTTTAGCAGTATATAAAAATTTATAAATATATACTACTATAGTTAATTAATAGTTAATAATAATTAAAATAGTTTTTATAATAGTTTTTTTTAATAGTTTTTATATTTATAGATTATACAGTTATTTAAATATTATTAAGTATTTTTATTTTAAATATTTTAGTAGTAATATTATTTAATTAGTTTAAAATTTTTTATTTATTTAGAGTATATAGTTAATAGCTAATAGTATATTTTATTTAATAGTTTAGTTTTTAGATTTTTTTTATTAGATACTACTAGGTGTTTTTTATATAGTAATAATCTATTTTAAAAAAAGTAAAGGCTATTTAGATTTTTAGTATTTTTTTACTTTTAAATAAGTTTATCTAATTTATAGTTAATATATAGAATTTAGTTAATTAGTAGTAATTTTTTATTTAAAAAGAATAGTATAGATATTATTAATAGTTATAGAATTTCCAGATTTAGCTATTTAAAATATAATATAATTTAATTTTATTTTTAATTTATTAATTTATTAGTTTTTTTTTACTATATAAATATATCTGTTAGTATATTTATCTTTTTGAGTTTATATTAAATTTAAAAATAATATTTAAACAGAAACTTAGTTTATTATACTTATTAAATATTTAACTTTTTTAAGATTATAAAATACTTTAATATTTTATAATTAATAAGTACTTTAAAAGATTTTTTTTATAATTTTTTTAGTTTTATTTTTTAGATTTTTATAAA